AATTTTTCATAGTCTTTGCTTGAGTGGTCTAGTTCATCCACTTTATCTTCTTGTCTTGATAGTCTGTTTTCCATTTCATTCATCCTATTGGTGAGGCTTTCTCCTGTCATTTCTAATTGGCTTACTGAGTCTTTCACTTCCTTCTTTATCTCAGTCTGAGTATTCTTCAATATTTCTAGCTCTTTTCTGAATTCATTCAGAAGTTTATCCCTATCTTCCCTCAGTTCTTTGATTTCTTTGTTTGTGTGTTCTTTAAATTCACTGAATTCTTTTATCATGTTTATAATTGTTCTTTTGAGTTCCATGTCCTGCATTATCTCTAGGGAGTTCTCATTGTATTCCTCTAGAGAACTATTCTTGTTTGGTGGGGATATGTTATTTTGGTTTTTCATGTAATTTTTTTTCTCTGTGATTTTGACACGTGAATTTATTTTGCAGTTTCTGATTCTTGTGTGAGACTCAAGCCTTCAAGTTTAGGTGTGCTTCTTTTTGTGAACTTTCTTTGTGGTTTACTTTTTGGGTATGAAAAGGTGGTTCATCTAAGCTTCTGGTTCTCTCTTTTTATTTTATATTGGAGTGGCCAGACTACTTTTGTCTTCAGGAGTTCCCACAGAGGCCCAAGTCAGACGAGGATCAGATGCTCTCAGGCTTTGTCTTAAGGTTTGGATCCCTCCAGAAAAGATTTTGGCTTCAGGAATCTGCGGATTGGACTGGCCTTGGACCCAGGCCCAGGAAAGATGCTGGTCTAGGGCAGCTGGTGGTCATGCTACCCAGAGATGCAAAGAAGATGGGGGTGGGAGGCGGCCCCAAGGGCTCCTGGGGACTGCACTGAGGAGCTGGGTTGGTCTGGATGTAAACGATCAGGAAGAGGAAAGGCCAGCCTTGGAGTCCAGGAAAGAGGCTGTTGGGTCCTCTAGGCCCAAAGAAGTAGAGAGAGGTGAGGGCAGGGCCAGTTCCAGAGTGTTCCTGGGGACCTGAGAAGGAACTGAGTTGGTCTGGATGCAAAGGATCAGGAAGCAGTGGTGGTTCCCCAGGTGTCTGGGGCACCAAGACAGGAATGGGACAGGACCCAGGCTAGGGGGAGAGACTGGTGGGGGAGATGGGAGGGTGAATGAGGCTGGGGGAGTCAAGGCAAGGAGGGCAAGATTGACTTACTCCGGAGAGAGGCCTGCGGGTCTGAGAGATGCCTGTGGTTCCTGCAGGCCCAGGGAAGCAGAAGGAGGTGAGCTCATGGTTTTTTTTGGTCAGGTGGCTCTGGGAATCTCTGAAGTAATTAGTGTCTATTTTTATGCTGATGACTGGTGTCAGAGCCCTGTAAATGGCTTCAGGATAGGAACTGGTGTCCAGAAAGACCAGGACACAGGTAGAAGGTTTTCACTTTCAGTCCTCCCCCTGGCCTCTCCAGAGCCAAGAAATGGTGAGGGTTTAGTTGATCAGCAGGGGACAATTATTTAATTACTCATGTCAATATAAAGAAGCCTCCAAAGCAAAAAAAAAAAAAAAAAAAAAAAAGGAAAAAAGGGTTAAATCAAATAAAGAAACCCAAGGACTGGAATCCAGGACCTCTTTGCTGAAGAAATGGAGGCTCCTGGACAGTGGCAGCATGGAGAAAGCCACATGTAAGCTCTATACCCTTCTCCATCTCTCTCCTCCATTTGGCTATTCATTTGTATTCTTTATGATATCCTTTATGATAAGCAAGTAAACACAGTGTCTACATAAGTGAACCTGAGGACAGTGCTGTGGGAACTCCCATGTGTAGTCAATGGATCAGAAAGTATAGATGACAACTTGTGATTGGAATGTGGAAGGAGGAATTGTGAAATGATTGGTATCTAAGTCCTGGTAAGTTGAACTGTTTTATCCTCTGAAAAATGCATGATAAAATACTTTAAGTACTGAACTATACTAGATTATATACCTCAGGATCTGGAGCACAGAGTCTTTTAAATAAGACAAATAATTTTTTCTGTTATCAACTCATAACTGTTGCTAAGATTCAGCTCTTCTTTTGGGGTTCCCTTCTGAGACCTGGAAAGACTCATTGCCACCAAAGACTCTCAGAAAACTTCTAGGGGAAGAGTCCTGTTTGTCCTGAAACTCAGTAAGTGGGAGAAGAATCACTGACAAGGACCATAATTAATTTTTGTGTCAAATCTTTCTGTAGAAGAATTCCTAGAAACCACTAGAAGAAAAGGAGGCTCTGATAAAACAACTTGCCCAAGAAAAGAACAACTTCACCCTGAAATGGAAGAACTGCGAGGGGAGCTAGAGGAGGAGACCAGGGTAAGGCACCCCTTCTTCCTCATCAGCAACTTGATATGACTTTTTAAAATGAAACAAAAACAAAAAGTGCCTGGTCAGTGGCCTCAGTATCTTCTGAAAAAGAGAGGGAAAAGTACCTTAGACATAGTCGGGACAACCCATGTTGGACTTTCTGTGTGCCAGGAAGAATTGTGATGACCAAAGGCTCTTACTTGTGGTTCAAAATCACTTGCACAGTTTGTCAGATTCAGAGCCAACAAAGTATGTGTTTCTGTGCACTTGTCACTTGAACTTAAGGTCAGCAAGATTTTATCTATTTAGGGCCACATTGGCCACCAAGAAGTGGAATGAAATAAAAGACTGGAACAAAATAAATAGGGCTGTTAGGTCAATATTACTTTTAATTTCAATAAAAATTAGTCATTTATGGGAAAGGGATATGACTCAGTGCCATAACACTTGTGAGCATATGTGAGGCCCTAGGTTCACTCCCAGCACTGAAAAAAATATAAAAGAAATTATTCATTTATTTATGAGATATATAATATCGTTAATAGCTTGCCCAAAAGAAAGTGACTGTTTATGGTAAAAGCACAGTGTCTAACACAAGAGATAGATTCAAGCCCTGTTTGCTATATATGAGGCTAATTTTTAGTTTATATTGAAGTAATCTTGTTAGAAAAATCCCAACCACTTCACATGGACATGAACTTATTCTTTAAATTTTTTATTATTTTTACTTTATATGTATGAATGTATATTGCCTGCCTATGTAAGTACACCTGTGTCATTCATTGCCCATGGAGGACAAAAGAGGGTGTCAGATCCCCTGGAACTGGAGTAACCAATGGTTGTTAGGTGCCATGTGGGTGCTGGGAATCAAACCCAGGTCCACTACAAGAGCAGCCACTGCTTTTAACCACTGAGCCATCTCTCTAGCCACGTGGCATGAGTTTATTACAAATTGATATGTTCTGAGGGTGGGGAATGAGAAGACTTACCTTCCTGCAGGAATGTGTGTCTTTGGTTTTAAATACTATGACATTTTATTCTCATCACTCTTTATTTTCTGTATTTTTAATTGTTAAATTTTAAAAATCAATTTTTATATATACATATGCATGGGATACAATATTATGTAATGGTCATATCAGGTAATTAGCATTTCTATCTCCTCAAACTTATCATTTCTGTGTGTTGACAACTGTTATTATTCTCTAGTTGTTTTGAAATATATATCATTGTTGACTACAAATGCAGTGTGGCATTTGAATTCCTCCCCCTCTCTGAATGTGTTTTGATAACTATGATCTACCATATCTCTACCCACTCCAGTTCTCTTTCCCAGCTTTTATTGACCTCTTCTCTACTCTCTACTTCTCTATGATTAATTTTTTGGCATCCACAGATGAATGAGAACATGTGGTACTTGAATTTGGAGGCCCAGCTTACTTCCCTTAACATAGTGTCCTCCAGTTCCATTGATGTTGCTGCAAATAGCAAAATTTCATCTCTTGTATGGCAGAATAATATTCCATTGCATATGTAGTGTATATTCTTGGTGATTTTCTATCTTTTTAAAACTACTTTGTTTATTTTTTATGTGTGTGTTTTACCTGCAAGTATATAAGTGCATCCATGTCATGAAATGCCTGTGGAGGTCAGAAGAATGCACTGGATTCCCTTGGAACTGAAGTTATATATGGTTGTTAGCCACTATGTGGATGTTGGGAATCCAGTCTGGGTCCTCTTCAGGAGCAACCAGTGCCGTCTCTACATCTCCGAGAAATTTTTTATTATTTTATTGTATTTATTATTTGTATTTATTATATTTTATTATTTTATTATTTATATTATTTATTTTATTATTTTTCATTTTCTTTGGGGTATGTTTACTAGAGAGTTACTGTGTTCTTTTGGTGGTGTCATGTGGCCTTGCTTTTTCATGCTTTATACATTCCTACATTAATATTTGCACACATCTGGCAGGTTAATTGTTTCCATCACGTTTATAAAGTGACTTTCAAAGTAAAATTATGTCTCCTGAAGACATGTCTAGGGTGTCGGTTTAGAAGGCTGTGTTGGTTTTGGTTCCAGTTAGGCATGGACATGCAGTTTCCTTATAGCTTCTCTATCTAACAAGTTATAATCAATATCTTCGAATGCTGAAGTAGGGGAGGAGGAATGAAGCACATTCTTTCAGTCTCAGGGATGGCACAGTCTTTGGCAACAGTGGGCAATTGCAGGCAGTGGAAGACAAGCTCTAGGTCCCAGGTAGTTAGTGAAGGGAGCACTGAGACTCTCTACCTGACTGCAGATCCATGGTTGTGGCTAGTGCACCTGGTTCTCACAATGCTGCTATTGCAGAATATCATATTGCACAGAGTTCTCGTTTCTTCTTGCTAAGATCCATGGCTGTCTTTTAGCCACTCATCTCATAATGCAGATATTTATTTGTTTTTAGGATTATTATTTGTGAATGAGGGAAGCACTGGGGACCTCTGTTTAGCAATTTTGGAATCTACTATATATCAAACTTTAAATTACTTTCCTTATTTGTACATCCAACATTGTACTCCAGACTTTTCTCATTTTATCTGACTTCTTGTGTAGGAAGCAAGTAAGCTGTATTGCTTCAACAGAGAAAACAAAGTTCCACGAAGGTAACTTATCTAAGGCTGTACAGCTAATGATATACTGTGAAAGAATTTGCACAGTACTGAAAAGGCCTGATTGATATTTTAGAAGATCCATCTGGTTGCCTTCTCACTGGCTTCCAATTGGCTTGTGAGAGCTGCATCATCCAACTGTAGCCTCTTCCTGTGACATCACTCACGTATCTGCTCCTCTCATGTACTTCTCTGCATTTGCCACGGCCTCTGTCTACCTCTTCTACAAGTCTTTGTCATTCCTGTTTTAGGACTTCCGCAACTGATAATCTTGTTTTTTAAATGTCTTTTTACAGTCTTTGAGAGATGATAAAGACACACATTGTGCACCACACCAATCTGTTTTATTCTTTTATAAATTTATTAATTTTGATATGTAACTGTGTATTCTGTAATTTCTTTTTGGCTCCTTAGAGCAGCCACTTTGTCTTCATCTCTGCTACTTCTATAACACTCGTGACTAGGAGAAGTTCTCATTGACTATTAAAGAGGAATAGCCACATTTTGAACCCAAGTTCATGTGATGCCTGTATTAGTCATGGCTCTCCAGAGCAACAGAACCAATAGAATATATATAACTTAATGCATATTATTTGATATATAGAAGGAATTATTAATCATCTTTAAAATAGTAACCGCAGCTGAATCCCACATGAAAGACTGAGAATCCTGTAATTGCTCAGTCCTTGAGGCTGGGTGGGTGCCTCAGTGGTTGGAGTAGTCTCACAATGGCCATCTCAAATTGGAGAGGCTGAAAACCTGATCATTGTTTAGTCTACAGGTTGGGAACCTCAGCAGTCCTAGTCTAGTGCCAAAATCCTTCCAGGTTCCTGGAAAGTCTAGTCCTTAGCAATGAAAGCCTGGAAACTCTGGTTCTGATAAAGTGAAGGAATCATCAACAGCAGAAACACACAAATTAACTTACTAGTTAAGAGGGACCAAACAGGCAAAAGTCAAAAACCTTCCTTCTGCTATTCCCTTTTTATCTGTGCTGATACTAGAAAGTACAGCCCACATTTGGGGTAGGTATTCCCACATCATTTAAGAAAATTAAGGCAATTCCTCATGTGAGGTTCCCTATTCAGGTGATTCCAATTTGTGACTAGTTGACATTAAAACTAAGCATTGCAGCACCAAAACCTGTCTACTCAGCATCATTGAGTATTATTCCTCACTCACTGCCTGAGGATGTCTGGCTAAGGATGCTATTAGCTCAGCCTTGTGCTCACAGAACAGCCCCTGCCTAAAATGATCCATTTTCTGCAGATTTGTCAAAAAGACCCATGGGGACTCATGGAAGCCTTACTTCTCCCTACTACATAAGAGTATCTCCTGAGAATGGTGCTGTTTGGATAGTCAGACCATTTAAATGATAGAAGTGTTCATAAAACTCAGCTCTGCTATCCCATAAATACAGAAAATGCTAGTATAATACTGTAGTTATCTAAATGTAAGTATAAAGGCTTTTATTTTCTGATGAGTTGAATGAAAAGGGTAGATTAAGTCTCATTCTTTCTGGTCCAAACAAGAGCTGAGTCTTGTGTGTTGCTAAATATAAATCTTATTGCCTAAATGATAGTAAATGTTTTTGTTTTACACGATCTCTACATTGCTAAGCTTTTCTGTTACTGATCTCCACACAGGCTGCTATTTCCTTATGTAGAAATGTCTTTCCGGTTTTAATGACAGATTAAAAAGACAGGTTTTTTTTGTTGTTTTTTTTGTTTTGTTTTGTTTTAATTTCCCCAAAGTCTTTCCTCGGTATTCCCTGGCTGGGTTTAGGTGCAACTTGAATTTTATACGTGGAATTAAATTTACTTGAAAAGAATATTTCAATTCCAAGTATTTCACTGTTAATGATGAAAGTGCCTGTTTAGAAAAGGGTTTCTTTTACAGTCTCAGAGTGCCCTGGCCCATGCCCTACAGTCAGCCAAGCATGATTATGACCTCCGAGAGCAGTATGAGGAAGAACAAGAGGTCAAGACTGAGCTGCACCGGACACTATCCAAGGGCAACAAGGAAAGACTGCAGTGGAGACTGAAGTATGAACAGGACGCCGTCCAGAGAACTGAAGACTTGGAGGAAGCCAAGTGAGTAGCTCAAGGCTCTCCTCAACCTGGAGTTGGTCCAGGAAGGAGACTGAGAGCAATGATGATGTCTAATCATGGTGGGCATTTCATAAATCCTTGCTGACTATATGAACAAGCCCAAGACAAAATCTGAAACAGTTATTTCTGGAAATCAGCACATCCTTTAGACTAGCTAAAATATTATGTGATTGGGACTTGAAGAAGGTCTTGGAGAGAGAAAGAAATCTCTTTCTGGAGGTATAACCGACACCTTTATAGAATGCTGTGACTTTGAGTTACACTTTAAAAACTGGGCTACTAGCACTTAGAAGCTTACAGTTTATTTGTACAACACATAATTGATTTCATGTATGTTTGTGTATTTACGTCGTACTCATTGGGTCTTTGGTGTAGGACTTACAGACTATCAAGTATTCTGTGGAGCTGGACAGGGACAGCTGAAAACATGTTAGCATTTATCATCATGCGTTATCGGACAAAGTTTCCTTTGAAAAATACCTGATCCTGAGGCTTTAGAGTTAGAATATAATGTTTATAGTTATAATGCATAATGGTTTTAAAAGTTCTTATGAACTTTAGGAGTTTGGAGGTTCTTTTCTACTCAGCACCAGAGTAGACCAGAAGTGCTTAGTTTATAGACTGAGTGATTGTATATCTTTGAGAGAAAGTATTCAACTAACTTTCCAACTTATAGCCATTAAAAGTTTACTCAAAAGAATGTGGTTTCATAGCTTGGCAAAGATCCAAGGAAGATCAATACAGTTCTCTTTAGCTTCAACCAGAAATAAATGTTTTTTCAGTTCCTCACCTAAATCTTTGAGTGGTATTGCTGTGTAGGTGCAGAACAGCTGCTGTGCTCTGTCCCAGAAGAGGCACCAAATGATCCATCTCTGTATCCACAGTAGCTTGAAAAGGGCTTTGGAATGATAGATACTAAAAATACTTGTAGTAAGTGTTTAACAAAACTCTGGACTGCAGAACATTGGAGCTTTGACCTGAAATGCCTCTTATATCCAAATCCACCATTTGCTTCTAAATAAGATTTTTTTCTATTTAATGGTTGAAGATTTCAAGTGAAAGCTTTTACCTGTCATTCTGTTTGATGGTTTCTTTGGGGGTTAAACAGAAAAGAAGGAAAGAATGTGGATTGCACTATGATCTCATATATTTGCTGGAATTAGTTCTGTAGAACTAATTTGCTGGAATTAGCAGATGACAACTAAAGAAAGGATAAAGGTTAAATATGATATTAATTGTATCTTTATTTTAATACTTGAATATTTTATAAATAAAGCTGTACCATGCTTTTTCTACAAATCCACCTCAGGAAGGTAGGCAGACACAAAAAGTGGAGGGTCCTGTGTTTTTCTATTGGAAAGTGAAAGACCTGACTTGGATTCCCAAGCTTTCCTGAAACCCATTTACTGGTTCTGAGTTCTCAGGTCTCTGAGGATAAGATTTTTGACTTCTTAAACCCAGATATCCTTCCATGTAGTCTAGGCAACTGGGTAGGTACTTATGATTGGAAAAGTAAGGAGGAATATAATAGTAGTTGATATTAAATGTAGAACAAATTATCAACGTGATCAGTGTGTCCAGTTTGCTCTGAAATTTCCCAGTTATATGTTAAGAGTCTCAGGTCTTGGTGGAACCCTTCACTTCTGGGAAAACCAGTATGGCTTTTCACATAAAGCAAACTGATTTTCTGGTATCAATCACCATAGGCATAGTTAACATACATGTAATTTTTTAAAAACAGTACTCCTCTTTTAGATTGGGTAACACAGTAGAATTTCTTAAGAGTATCAAGTGGCATGACATTATAAAGCCAGTGAACAAAGCATTATTAGCTCTGCAGTGCAGAGCCTTCCCAGGTGCCAAGCAAAGATTAAGCTTTCTTTTGGGATTCCATTCAAAGGGGCCTTATTGCCACATTATGGGGACTAGTTGTTTCCTGCTTGTGAATTGCTGATCTCTACTAAACAAACATGCCTAAGGATTTTCATATAGTAAGAGTGAAATGCTTTGGTACCCACAATTCATTTCATCTTAGAATGCTCCTTTCATTTATGGAGAACAAATGGTACAGCTAGCAACTCTGTAGGAATGTAAGCAGGAAAGAACATCTCATCCTTTAGTATTCCTAAGAGAATTACTGTATGTATGGAGGAAGTATTTTAAGCTCATTAATCTATTACAGGAGGTTCTGGAGGAACACAAGTGCTAAAGCATCCCAGTGAGATCTACCAAGTGAGCACTGTGGCAAGGTAAATGGGATGAGTGCAATCTTGGGGTTGGAGCTGCTGTGGAGAAGATACTCAGGAAGAGCTGTGTGAGGTTTAGCAGATGTGGTAAGACATGAGGGAGAGAATGAGAAATACTATAGAGAGTTCTTTGAAGGAAGCACATCCAAGCTCTATAGGGACCAAACAAACATGCCTAAGGATTTTTAAGCAGCATACCGCTGGTAAGACATTTGAAATAAACTTATCTCTCCTATTTTGTATAGAACTGTCAATAAAATCTGTATTGATTATTAAAGTTTTAGGATTAAAAATATGTTTATAGGAATTCAAAGACATCCTGAGTTCCAAATTCAGGTTGGTAAAACAGGGGGAAGTAAGATCCATGTGGACACAGGAGCCAGATGCTGGTGGTCAGCAGACAGCTGGGCTCTGCTGGAATGGTGCTGCCTTTGCTCACACTATTGAGCCAGCCACAGAGAGCATCCTGCTTGGGTCTCAATCATTGTGCCGCTTGGCTCGCTCCTCAGGAAGAAGCTGGCAATTCGGTTGCAGGAGGCTGCAGAAGCCATGGCGGAGTCCCACGCCAGGAACGCCTCCCTGGAGTGGCCCAGACACAGGCTGCAGCTCTGGCTTGAGGACGCTCTCTCTGACCTGGGGAAGGCCCGCTCCAAGGCGGCTGCGCTGGAGCAGAAGCAGCTGCACCCACAGGGCCCTGGCTGACTGGAAGCAGAAGCAGGAGTCCCAGGTGCTGCTGGAGGCCTCTCAGGAGGAGGCCCGGGCTCTCAGCACTGAGGTCCTCCTGCTCAGGTATTCTTGTGAGGAGAGCACGGAGGGCCCGGAGATGCTGAGGAGGCAGAACAAGAACCTCTGAGGTACTCAGCTGGGCCTGTAGCCCGAGCCAGCGAGGAGCTTGGGGACAGCCTGGCTTTCGGGAGACGCTGTCTGCTGTGCATGGAGAGCCTTGGCGATTCCATGTTCCCGTTCATGTTTTAACCCTTCAAATACTAATACTTCATTCTGAAAACATTTTATTATGGATATTATTTGTATTATATTAGTTCTGAAAATAAAGATAGTGTCACATTTTTAGCTCTAGATCCATACTGTGAAGGAAGCCACTCTCAAGAATTTCCTGATACCCACAGCCTCAAAGAGATTTTTTTTTTAATGTGTATACTCATGGGTATATATTTTAACCAAATTATAGATTGTTCTATACCATTTATGTTTTCATTTTTCAATATATTTTTTAATTTAATAAATGTTTCCAGCCCATGCTATGGGCCAGGCACAGTTCCATATTCAGCTACTCATTGCTTAGTCCCAAGAAGGCCCTCCATATTAGTTTCCTCAGCTGTAAATACAAGGTCAAGTAAGATGTTTGAATTCACATTCAATAAATTACAGATCTGGGATTCAAATCTAATTTCCTGAGCTATGCTACTTTTCTATTTACCTTGTGGTTCTTAGTGTTCCAAGCCACAAATATCTGCTACATTCCTTGAAAAAAGGAAATATATGTTTCATAGGAAGGATAACCAGCCTGGGCCTGCAGGACCCACAGGCCTCTCACTGGGGTAAGTCCATCGTGTCCTCTGGACCTTTATTATTCCCCCAGCCTCATCCCCCCCCCCCGCCTTCTCTCTTCCTACTTTGGGTCCTGTCCCATTCCTTGTCTTGGAGCCCCAGACACCTGGGGAACCACTACAGCTTCCTGATCCTCTTCATCCAGACCGACTCAGTGCCTTCTCTTATGGGCCTGGCCCTGCCCTCACCTCCCTCTGCTTCCCCCGGACCTGTACCACCCACCAGCCTCTTTCCAGGCTGCATGGGCTGACCTTTCCTCTTCCTGATCCTTTGCATCTAGACCAACCCAGATCCTTAGTGCAGTCCCCAGGAGTCCTTGGGGCCACTTCTTGCCCCCATCTGCCTTTGCATCTCTGGGTGGCATGGCCACCAGCTGCCCTAGACCAGCATCTTTCCTGGGCCCAGCTCCTAGGCCAGTCCAACCCCCAAATTCCTGAGGCCAAAATGTTTCCTGGAGGGATCCAGACCTTAGGACAAAGCCTGAGAGCATCTGATCCTCATCTGACTTGGGCCTTTGTGGGAACTCCCGAAGACAAAAGCAATCTGGCCACTCCAATATAAAATCAAAAGAGAGAACCAGAAGCTTAGACGAATCAGCTTTTCATGTTCAAAATTTAAACCACAAAGACACACAAAGTTCACAAAAAGAAGCACACCTAAACTTGAAGGCTTGAGTCTCACCCAAGAATCAGAAACTACAAAAGAAATCCACCAGTCAGAATCACAGAGAAAAAGTAATAACATGAAAAACCAAAAGAACACATCCCCACCAAACACCAATAGTCCTCTAGAGGAGTACAAGGAGAACCACCTAGAGATAATGCAGGAAATGGATATCAAAAGAACAATTATAAACATGATAAAAGAATTCAGTGGATTTACAGAACACACAAAGAAATCAAAGAACTGAAGGAAGATAGGGATAAACTTCTGAATGACTTCAGAAAATAATTAGAAATATTGAAGAATACTCAAGGTGAAATGAAGAAGGAAGTGAAACACCCAGTAAGCCAATTAGAAATGACAGGAGACAGCCTCAACAATAGGATGAATGAAATGGAAAACAGAGTATCAAGACTGGAAGATAAAGTGGACGAACTAGACCACTCAATCAAAGATTATGAAAAATTTAAGAAATCACAAGAATGGAATATGCAGGAATTGTGTGACACAATAAAAAGATCAAACTTATGAATCATATGCATAGAAGAAGGAGAAGAATCCCAAGATAATGGCCTGGACCAGATCTTCAACAGAATCGTGGAAGAAAATTCCTCCAAATTAAAGAAAGACATGCCCATACAAATACAAGAAGCATACAGAACACCAAACAGACAGGACCAGAAAAAAAACTCTTGATGGCATATTATAGTAAAAACACTAAACATATAAAACAAAGAGACAAAGTGAAAGCTGCAAAAGAGAAACAAGTCACATATAAAGGAAAACCCATTAGGATCACAGCTGACTTTTCAGTGCAAACTATGAAAGCCAGAAGAGCCTGGACCAAAGTATTCCCAGTTTTAAATGACCACAGACACTAACTAGATTACTATATCCTACCAAAATGTCTATTATAGGTAACATAAATAGGCTGAAGGAATTCATGTCTACAAAATCAGCCCTTT